TGTGGGATCCTCCCGGACCGGAGCATGAACCTATGTCCCCTGCATCGGCAGGCAGACTCTCAACCACTGTGCCACCAGGGAAGCCCCCTAAGTGAGCTCTATTTAATTGACTCAAAAGTAAGTGCTTACAAATAAAGTACTTCTTAATATTTAGAAAGTTGGCCAAAATGAATTTCGGGTCCTCATGACCTGGGAAATGTTCAGTACTGAATTGATATCTGGCACTGAAGCTACCTTAAGCTTGTTGGTTTGTTAAGTATAATACTTCTGTTGTACCTAGGTTATTTAGAGATCAAATAAGACCTTATATCTGTTGCAAATTTGTCAGCAAGAAAAATAAGTTGATATGATGAAACCTTAAGTCTATCTAAAATAGCCTCTCTCACATTAAAGAACTCTGGAAATAGACTATAGTATAGGACTGATATTGAGGCTCCTCAGTCACCAGGCATCTTAAATTATCATGATGAAAATAGAATTCCTAAAACCCTATACCTCCTTTAGACTTGAAACTGAACTAAGTTAAATGGCAAGAATTCATTGACCATCTAGGTCATTTCAAATAGGATAAAATATTGGAACATCGGTTGCTGGGCAAATCTAAGTTTACCTACCTTTGCTTTCTTAGGAGAGGAAAACCAAAGCATAAATTTCCAATCAGAAAATGCTGGTATGACAAACAGTTCACAATTACTTGCCTCTTGGTTTTCACTAAAAATTAAGGTACTTAAGAGTTGAGGATTCTAATCTAAATATGTAATTAAAGCTACTAAAATAATTTTTAAAAACATTTCAGTTTACAGTAGGAAAGTAGGATATATGTTTTGAGTAAAAAAGGACTTTTATGCATGGTCAGGCTGAGATTAGATTAAATTTAGGTAAATGGATTTTGTTATCAATATTAAAAGTAAGCTGGTGCAAGACTAGATTTGGTTCTCTGCTAAGAGAACAAATTTACCTAGAATGCTGCTTTTGATAACAGGTTATATGAACTTCCTTCCTTTAAGTGATCTGTATTTGCTTTTAAGTTCTCTTCTCATTTGGATAAGAAAAAAGTATTGTCTTACAGTGACTGATGATCTTATTTGACCAAGTGTTTTGAAACTTTTTGGCAAACTTCCCAAATATCAAATTTTAATTAAAGTTCTTTTGACCTCCAGCTAACTTTGGGATTTGTTAGGGGGCCCCTAAGGCATCTCAAGGAGGAATATTTAACTAGTATTATTTGGTACATTGAATTACATGGGAAGCATTGTCAAAGGAGTGATAAGCCTTCCTTTATTATACTGTACAGATAAATGTTACTACTATAGATATTCTAGAAATTATATAAAGTTTCTGAAATGTAGATATGTCCTAGTATAATCTATCAGCCATAACTCTGGTTATATCATAGCAAATTGATTCAGTTTTGTCAACACATTGTGATCAGATCTTTAACCTTGCCTTTTTAAGTCTTTAATAGTTAAGCTGATGCTTTGCAAAAATGCTTCATCTTCAAGAAGATTCATAGGGAAGACTTTTTTGATAAGTGCAGGTCTCTAATAAATTTTAGATTATACTGCTGAACTGGGTAAGAAATTTAAAGTCCTAATGGAAGACCTGATGGCTTCATAAAAAGATAACAAAAGGATTGGTTACTGAGTAAACTGGTATATATGGTTATAATGGTTATGCGTTTTGTCTGGAATATTACTGATTTTGATCTGTGTTTTCCAGATATAGGGAAGCCCTTCCCCTCAAGTTACTCATGACTTAAAGCAATTTGGTAAATTATACTTCTGTGAGTCTGGCTATGTGGCAACAAGTCTCCCCCAGCATGCCAGGTCCATACTGGTTTTCAGGCTTATTCTCCTGAATTCCTCAGGGAATGAGATCGTTCTTATACAAGACTTGGATCCAGGACTTGGAACTTGGGATTATTTCCAACTCGGTATCCATGCCCCAAATCAAGGTAGGACTGTGTCCCATTTTAGCAGGAAGTAGCTAGAGTGGTCATCAACCCATTCCCTGAAAGACTTGGGGAAGGATGAAACAGAATTGGAGGTTGAAACCAAGTCCCCCTAAAACTGAGTTCCTCTGCCAAGTTCATGATTAACCACTCTATCCAAAACATACCTACATGTTCTCCTCAAGATTGAGGAATATCAAAGAAAAGGGGGGAATTGTAATAGAGCAGGGCGTGCAGCCATTGGCAGGCGGCAGTTACCAGGCAACCATTACTGCAAGACCACTAGCACGGTGGTTAGGGGGCCCATTAGGCCAACCCTCGGGTGAGTGGTGGTCACCAGGCAGAGAGTGAGGTAAGAGGCAGATCTTGGCCTTTTCCCCCGCGCCCTACAACTCACCTGGCCTCAGGCTGGCAGGTGAGCTGGGAGGCCCAGGGAACAGGCAGGGGGCTGTGTCCTGCAGGGCTCCATAGGCCTCACCAAGGTCACCCACTGGCCGGTCCCAGGCCTTGAGGTGGTGATGAACCTCTCCCCCATCCCCACCTCTGCAACCTAATGGCAGTGGCAGTCTGCATGGGTTGCGGTCCATTGGACCTGGCTCCCTACCCCCCATTTAGGCAGCCTGAGGCGCCTGAGGACCAATTGGGTCCTGAGCATCTGGCTCCCTCAGTGATGATGGCTGGGCAGGGACTGGGGACCTGGCCCTGAGGGCACTGCCAGCTGAGATCTGCTTATTTATCTGGGCCTGGGTACTGGCAGGAGGACCCAGACTGGGTGCTAGATGAATGCTCCTGGGCAGGGTAACTGGCCCCCGCAGGGACCCCCTCCTCTTAGCCAGGACCTGGACCTCGGAGGGTGAAAGGTGAAAGTTATGCCTTGGGACCTTGCCCTTTCTTGTCAGAACAGAGAATAACATTTGTTTGGTGGAGATTTACAGGAACACCATCACTTGACCATGACCTGACCTCAAGAACAAAGGATCTGACACCAAGAAGTTTGCAACAACTAACCACACCCCTCCCTCACCTTTCCTATAAAGGGGCTTTGCTGAAAGCTTTCAAGGAATTTGGGTTTTTTAAGGCATGATCCACCCGTCTCCTTGCATGGCCCTGCAATAAACCATTCTCTGTTCCAAGCTCCGACATTTTGGTATTGTTTGGCCTCACTGTGCGTCATCAGACACATGCACTTGTGTTCAGTAACACCGTGACTACCCTGATTCCATAGCTTTTCTCAATTGTTTTCTCTTAGTGGAAATTCCTATTTCCTCTGTTATCTGCCTTCCTACATATTAAAGTTTCCTCATTCTTAAAAACTATACTTACATTAAGGTATAAAGACAATTTACATGCTTTATCTGTCACTCCACTTATTACCAGCACTTCCTAAACTTATTTGGTGACCTTTTTTCTTTTACTGCTCTTTGTGTTTCTTTTGAAACTGAGGGCTCAGGTGAAAAGGGCAATCTTCCCAGGTACAGATTAGTGACTCCCCCACCCCCACATAGTCTACAAGAAACTTTTATTTTTCTTCAAAATTTCTTCATTAATAAGTTTCTTTATTTTCTTTTCCCATTTCTATCTGATGTCTTCTCTCTTGGCATTCCAATATCACCTACTTACTTTTTTTTTCACTTATCATACTTTGTTTTTCATTATGATCACTTTATTCACTCATTCAACTAACACGTGTTGAGGAGGGCTGGAAGTTGAGGATGGCATGAATCTGAGTTTGAAGTTGAGAAGTCATTTTTAAAATTTTCATCTCATTTACTCATTTCAAAAACATTTTAAAGATCTATTATCATGCCCTTTTTAAGATGGGGAAACACAGTTGGGAGATATTAGGTTACCCGACCAAAGCCAGACAACTGGAAGATGGAGCTGAAACTTGAGATCAGGTCTTCTAACATCACCTCCTGTGTTCTTTCCACTATTCCACATTAACTTCTCTCAGGATTGGCAAATAAGAGGCCTTCCTGCTGAATCTGCCTCTTCCTTGTTTTGTTTGATAAACACAGTAGCTTCTGGTTTGAGAAATCACCTGGAGTCAGACCACAGGGATTGATGGAAGATTGAAAAGTTCAATTCCAATTAAGGCATTCCAATTCAGATTAAATAATCAAACCAGAAGCTACTGTGTTTACCAGTCTTACTGTGTTTAAAAAAAAAAAAAAAAAGATTGAATTTTCCCTGTTTTCCCTGTTACCAAAAGGAAGAGACCTTTACCCCTCTCCCCTTTCATAGAGAATTTTCTTGAACTAATTTGTAATTATAAATCCTTCCTATGTCTCTTTTTATGTATATAAGTCTTAAAAGCTAAACAAGCCTCTTACCAGGTACAACTCAGTAAAGTTTTTCTTAAGGTCCTGGGAGCCAACTCTGAAATCTAAATATCCAGGAAGATAGTGCCCCATATCCTCGCACCACAGAAGTTAGCCTAGGCTCGTTGCTCCAAGCTAAAAGTACCTTCTTGTCACAGAAATAGAAAAGTTTTCTTTTTCCCTTCGATAATGGCAATTAACAAACACAAATGGCTACCCCAAGCGTGACCTACCAAAGAAGGTACAGCAACCGGTGTGGTTACGTAGTACTCTTACATGAGAACATGCACGTAATGGATTGTATCTGCTTGTCTATAAAAAAGGGTGAGATTTCTTTCTTTGCAATCGCATTAGCAATTGCCTGTGACACCCATCCCAGTCTGGTTCAAGGCTTACTGAATAATATAATTTTTTTTCTACATTTGGTAAGATTTTCTGAGATGGCAGGAGATCTTAGTTTTCATTTTTCGTTGACAATATCAATTCATTTATGTCTCTTACCTTCCCTATCCCTACCTGCTCCCCCACCTCCCCCCACCCCACCCCCACCACCACTCCGCCCCGAATAGTAAATCAGGATAGAAATGCGCTCCTTACTCACCTCACAGTTTGCTTTGACCACCAGGTGAGATAACGCTTCAGAGCGGCAGCCAGAACCACGACTCCCAGCATTCCTGGCGCTCGCCGCTCTCCTGGCTTCCTCTTCCGGTTCGGGGGCTACTGAAAACGAAAGTGCAATGCTGTGGCCGCCGCCGGGGTGATTTTCACCTTCGCCTGTGCGAGCCCTCGCTGACCCAGGTTGGGAAGCCAGACAAGAGTAAAATATGAACGGAAGAGTGGATTACTTGGTTACTGAGGAAGAGATCAATCTCACTAGAGGACCCTCAGGTATGTGCAGAAATGATCATCGCTGGCAGTAGGGTATTTGAGGCTGTAATTGCAGAGCGTACACCTCTTCTGCAGAGCCAGATTCTTTTGGCCTCGGAGAAGGCAGGCCCCAACGGAGATATTTCCTGCAACGCTTGTGAGCACATAGAAGGCTATATTGGCATCCAGCGTTATCCTGAGACGGATCTGAGGAGTCCACCTCATTTTGTAGTCGGGTTACCACATATATTTATAGTCAGGAAGAGTTTCTTTCTGCTAACGGTACTAGAAAATCCTACTTTTTAGCCAGCACCCGTGAACACCACACCCTTCCTTCCGTTTGCCTGCTCTATCCCTGTTTCTATGAGATACAGTTTAGTAAAAATGGGAGCATAAACGGTGTGTACTGTAAATGCATAGCCGTTTTCTTGGTGCTAGTATCCCTCCCTCCCTCCTTTCATTTCTGGGAAATTCATTTAGACGGTCAACTGGAATGTTAAACCAGAAAGAGACCTTAGAGATCTACTACAGATGTTCCCAAAGCTGGTTTCGCCTCAAAATTATCCAAGGTTTTTTGGTTTTTCTTTTCTTCTTTTTTTTTAAAAAAAGAGGTTAATTCCTAGGACCCACCTCTGTGAATTTGGATTCAATGCAGATGTTTCTTTGGTCCTTTTCATCCCTTCCTTCTTTCCCACAAGCCCGTCATGTGATTCCGATACTACCAAATCTTCACTTTCACCTACAGTGCTCTTATCTCCTGATGCACTTCACTCCATTAGGCTCTTAATAGTACTACATGCTGCCCACTTGGGCTTTTGTTGGTTCCTTTACAGCTGTCTAGTGTATCAATTAAGAGCTTTAGCTTTGGGCTTATGTGGGTCCAAAAATGGTATCTAACTTCTTACTAGTTTTTTGATATTTATTAACTAACTTTACTGATGTAAGACTTAATTTCTCATATGTAAAGTGTGCATGATAATAGAGTACGCTTCCTATGGTTATGAGAATGAAATCAGTTAATCTATGTAAAATATTTAGAACATTGTGTGCTAAGCACTGTGTGTTCACTACTATTGTTGTTTTTATTGTTAGTAGATAAATGGTTAGGTTAACACAGTAAATCCTGCTAAATACTGTTATTTCAAGAGTCTCCAACAACTCATCAAGTAGCATGAGCTCTATCGGAAATAATTTTTTAAGTCTTTCACTCCTTTCTGTTTCCATCATCACTACTTAGACCAGTCCATCTTTTCCTATCTGGAATTTTGCAGTAGCTTGACCACCACTCATAGATTATTTTTCATAAAATATGGCTTTCTGAATCATCCATGCTTTGTCTTCTTTCTTGTTACAAAAAAATTGGAAATCAACTCTACTTATGAGAGTGTAATTTATTGCTAATCTGCATGGTTTAATGTCATGCTTCATACGATCTCCTAAACTTTTGTCAGAGGCTCATTCAGTGTGCCCAAGTCTCTTAGGTACATTTTTCTTATTTTATGTAAGTTTCTCCTTCTCTCCCTGTTAATGGTTATTGACTTTTGAGGCTGACATGGAAAATTATTGTTAAACCAAAATCTGTTTTTCTGTACTTTTCATCCATTGGTACTTGTTCTTCTCCTAGGGCCAACTGAAACAGTGGTAGTTCATTTTCTGATTGCCTTGCAAGTATTTAAAGGCATCTGGTTGTTCTCCTGTTTTGTCTTTTCCTTCTACAGCCTAAATATCCCTAGTTGTTACATTAGCTCTCTTGTGATGTGATTTGAAGTTTGATTCTTGTCTCTTGCTTAAGAATTTAACGTATTTTGATATGGTCCTTTTGCTGCAGTATCCACAGTATTTTCAGGATCTCCTGACTGGAGCAGAGCAGAACTCTGATATTCTCTTGCATATTCCAGTCACTAAATATTTAAAAATTTTAGTGTAATATCACTTCACCTTTTTTGGCATTTACGTAACAGTGTTGATTAATGTTCAGCTCACTATTCACTGAAATTTCTGATCCTATTGATCTTGCAGACCTGAAGTTCCTAGTGTTACCATTTTTCTGCATTATTAGAATTAGGACAAACGTCAAAGGACTGATTAAGAATAATTGTATATGCTAATATATCTCACCTCAGAGTTGTTTAATTTCTGTTTTGTATGTGCATTTATTCAAAAATGAATGAATTTATTCACCTAGTGACTTTTAATTTTTTCTAAGCATTTCATGTTTTACTCATATAAGTTGATAAACTTAAAAGTTTAGATGAGTAGAGCCACAAACTTGGATAAAAACAGTCATTTGAAGTTTGATTAGTTCATTTAACGAGGTTCCAAGTTTCTGTTATCACCTCCCAAAGCTAGTTACCTGCTATGTGGTATTCCTAAGAAGTCTCACAGTCTAACTCTGCTTTTCCTCACTGTGCCATCATGAAGATACATAGGGAAGAAGTCAGTTATCACCACTAGAAGCTTCCGGTAATTTTGGTAGTCCCATAGTGTTCTTTCTTTCTCTAGAAGAAATATGAAAAGCCTATAGTTCCAAGTCTGCATTTCTGTTTGTAGTCAGCATTGTCACTCTTTGTTTCAATACAGCGTCCTTTGTAGGGACCTGATAGTTTAATCAGGTAACTGCAAGAATGTATATACTTTTGCCCTTTTGTGTCAGTGTTCTGTCAGGAGCAAGAGTCTTGGGTAATTCTAGTGTTTAGGCCCATTTGCAAGGCAAATGAACCTATTCTGTCTGATCTTGCTTACTGCAAGGGAAGTAAAATCTTGGGGAAATTATGACAATGAAGTGAGTATCTGGTGAGGCAAAAGGAAGCTTGGTACGTAGCTTGACATCTATCCTATGCCTACTTCCTCAGCCATGTAAGGAGAGGCTTAGGCTGGACGACTTTGTAAGTTTCTTCCACTTCCAAGAGTTCATGATTCTTTGGCCATGTGTTGTTTTATGGTTCCTGCCATTTTGAACCAGCAGTAGGTGGTCTGAAGAATCAATCACAGTCTCAAATGAAATGCCCTCAAGGGTTTGAAGAGTTTACTTTTTATCCTTTATGGAACACTCTTCTTTCTATGGGCATCCAGCTTGATTATAGTCTCGAAGCCTCCCACTTTTATCAACTTGAGAGTTCTTAATGTTGGAAAGACTCAGTTACTCTAAGAAGTATGACAAGAATCTAATTTACCTTTTTTTACTGTAACAGGTACATATTGGCCATAAAGACAACCCTACTTCATGTTGCATATTAGGATTCCTTGTTCAGGACTGAGTTATCAGTGAGTTTCGGCAAGTTGCTCCCGATTACCACCTTTAAAGAGGGAACAGAATCTCTATTTTTCTACTTTCTTTCAAGGAGTTGCAGAGGGTAATGGGTTGGTACAATGTTTTAATAATGAATAATTAAGGGAGTATTCTCTTTCTGGCAGTGTGCTAGTTACTTTTTATATATATATAAATTTTTTTTCTTCACAACCACCGTGAATGGTGATTAATCCACATTATTAATTGAGGAAATTGTCTCTCAGAGAGGTTAAGGATTTGCCCAAGTTCTAAAGCCAGTAAGTTTCAAAAGCCAGGAATTTAACCCAGATCTGTTGATTATAGTGTTCCATATACTACCTCCCACTATAGTAGCTATGTCTAAGGAGTTGGCTCCCAGCCTTTCTCCTGACCTTTATTTTGTTATCATGCCTTATTTCCAGAATGATTTGAGGCATCTTATGACTAACACAATCCACAGTGGAAACTTCTTACAGTTTTCTGTTGACAGAGCTGACAGCGTATCAAGGTGAGAACCTAAAAGCAAGAAACCTCATTAAGTCCAAGCATTTAAGCCTCTACATACCTGCCGTGTGCTTTGTGTTTAACCCTGAGACTGTTGCTAACAGTTTTCTGACCCTTCATATGCCAAATAGATCTGAGAATAAAGTGCTCTATCCTTGCCCTATTTTCTCTTTTTATTTTTTTATTTTTATTTTTATTTTTTTTTGAGGTACACGGGCCTCTCAGTGCTGTGGCATCTCCTGTTGAGGAGCACAGGCTCCAGACGCGCAGGCTCAGCGGCCATGGCTCACGGGCCCAGCCGCTCCACGGCATGTGGGATCTTCCCAGACCGGGGCACGAACCCGTGTCCCCTGCATTGGCAGGCAGACTCTCAACCACTGCACCACCAGGGAAGCCCCCTACTTTCTCTTGATTATGTGAAGTCTAGCCCTCATTGAATTTATGTTCCAGTGGAGATATGACATTCACATGTACAAAGTTAAATCTCAGTGCAGAGGTGCAGATGGTTAAGGACTGTGATGAGCATGTATGTAATAGGAGGACAAAGGAAGTGTGTAGAGAGGTATGTTAATCTAACCCTGTGCTAGAAAAGGTGAAAGGATGGAGGCATTGGTGGGGGCCAGACTGATCAATTACAAGAAGGTGGAACTTATGTTGCTCTTATAGACAAGCTTTAGGCTAGTGCCACAACCAGGGATGGCCTAAGGAGAAATAGAGAAAAGAAAATAAGTAAGCATATTCTGAGATGAGTGAATAAACCAGCCTGGATAGAAGGAAGGGTTCATTTAGGAGAGTTAAGGGAGAAGAGGTTGCTAAGATAGGTAGAGACTGGATTATGAAAAGTTCTCAATGCTGGTGTGAAAACTTAACCTTTCTCTAAGATACCATCTTGATTCCTTCCCCTTCCTATTCATTCATTGATTAAGATTCAATTTAAGAGTCACCTCCTCCAGGAAGCCTTCTTTACCCAGGCTAGATGCCCCCTTATTATGAATCTCAGACACCATTTATTGTCTGTCATGTATTGCCAAACTAAGCACTTTGTCTCGTCTACTCCCAGCAAGGAATAAATGGTTATTATCCCATTTTGCAAAGGAGAAAACCTTGACTCTCATCACACAACTCTTTAAGTGGCAGAGTTAAGAATTGGATCCAGCGCAGACCTACTAGAGAATGGACTTGAGGATACGGGGAGGGGGAAGGGTAAGCTGGGACAAAGTGAGAGAGTGGCATGGACGTATATACACTA